GTGCCGCGAGGCCGCTTACGCCCGAGCAGTCCCCCTCACGCCTGAGGAGGGGACGGGGACGCGGCCCTTGGAGAGGAGACGAGGGCGAGGAAACCCGCCGCCGGGAGTCGCCACAAAGCGCAAGTTGCACCTCTTTCCTTGAAAGCCGGAGGCCGCTTTGCTCACGTGGGGATGAGAAACGGGAGGTTTCTCGCCTCCCGCCTTAAGGCTCGCGAAGGACAAAATACGATGTGTTTTGACTGACGTGAAAGGTTAGTGGGGAAGATGAACCTCCGGTGGCGGCAGCTGAGGAAAGGGGGCTCGTTCGGGCAGAGCCCGAAGCGGAGCGTCGGCCTTGCAGCGAGCGGGGAGCGTGAAAGCGGGCTTTGGAGAGCACGCGGCTCTTCAGCCTCGCTCAAAAATAATAGCGCTGGCTTTTTTAAACCTTAAAAGTTTAGTCTGCCCTCAGTAAAAACAAGATACATTAAAAACCATACAAAAAAAAAAGCAAACCTCTTTTTCCTGGTTTCTGCTTATAAGATTTACAGGTACTTAAAATAAACCCATGAAAAACAGACCTAGTGTGCTGGAATTTGCTAACTAGTCAGAGCAATTACCTCCGGGCTCCAAAACCTAACGGAGCCTGACTTTTGGAAACAAGACTTGGCAAGCGCTTCTTCCTGGTGCTGTTCGAAAGGTGTACATGAAAAGATGTACTGACCTCTGCCAGAAACCCCAGGAATCCGGTTCAGCGAGGCACTCGCGCGGTGGGCACGGCGCAGCGCCGGCGGCACGGATCGGGAGCGGTGCGAGAAAGCCGGCAAAACGCTGGCTCCTCGTTGCGCGGCTTCCGGGGGGCAAAGCCTTTGCGATTGCCTGGTGCGCCGCAGCAATTAAGTGGGTCAAGAACAGGCGGTGTAAACGCTGAACAAGACAATACAGACCGGACTTGGTCGCCAACGCCGTGTCGTGCTTGTTGCAGCCTCGTCGGGAGAACTAACGCAGGTTGCCGCGGTGAAAGTTGCTCTGAACCTTTTTGTCAATGATTCTGTGCTGCTTCGGAGATCACATACCAGTGAGCTGTAACCGCGGTAATATCTGTAAATCAGACCTTCTTACGAAACTAATGCCCCAATTGTAGGTGACCTAAAAAGAGGGAAACAATGGACTGCCTTTTTCCTCCCTCTTTTTAGTGATGTGTAAGAGAAGTAAAACGGGGAGGGAGGGGGGGGAGCACAACCTCCCTTTGTTAACATAAGAAAAATGTAAAACAGGCCTCTGTTTTCTCTGGACTGTTCCAGGGGAGACTGGAAAATTAAGTTTGTGCAGCGCAGTAAACATGGTACAAGTAAAACTTGACTGAGATGGGAAGTAATTTTGTGAGACTGTATAGTTTGGAGGAGGGAGGAAGTTTCACACCAGCATTTTGAAGGAAATTATTTGTTACACTCAGTATCTCTTTATCGGCCCTGGCTGCGGAAGAGAGCTCCTCTTTCCCACAGCAGTTGTAAAAGGCCTTCGGGAAGGATGAAACGTTCTCCCTAAAACACCAAGGGACGAGTAACAGGAACGTTCCTTTCAGAAAAAACCCAACGAATCTATTAAACGCGTTCTCTCATAAAACAGGAGCTCTCTTCAGACCATCTTCCCTTAAGAATTAAGAGAGGGCGCCAGCTTCGCCTGCGTGGTTGTGGGTCCCTTTGGAGGACTCGCCGCTGAGAGGGCGGTTGGTTGTACCCGAGCGCCCGCGTCGGCGCGGCTGAGAGCTCGTCCTCGGCAGCGAGGAGCCTGCGCCGGCACGAGGGGCCCCGGGGCAGCAGGGCTCACCTGAACCTGGCCGGGAGAGGCAAATTCAGTCTCCCAGCTTTAGCATCTTACCCACAATAACTCAGTTAGAAGCATTGCTCATGTCTGTGCGTTATGGTTATTAGGTGCAAGAAATACAGTTTTAAAACTGTAATTAATCATTTTCAAGTAAGCTTTTTTTTTTTTTTTTTTTACACATTTATGGAATCAATGGGTATGACTGTTTATTATGTTTTACCTATAAAATCTGACCTGTTTTATATACTCTTTATGGAAACAGTGTACGGTCATAAATTAAAAGATGCAACTGTTTTGGATATTTTACTGGTGGTCCTGCATTTTCCTGCCAAAAGTGCAGCTGTTTTAGGTTTCTCAGGATAACATTATAAAAGGCTGTATGCGTTTTGCAAGTTTATGCTTGAATTGCCAAGCCAGAGGTGGAATGACTCAACCTTCCCAGGAGCAACATGTACCAAGTGATGAATCAAAACAGCTAGCTGAAGCTCAGTGGCTTACATTACAGCTGTGAAAAGCAGGTCTCATTTATGATATTTTATCTGGTGTTTGAGACCAGGTTTTGCTGCTCATGTTAGGCTAGAGCCTCTGTCTTTTTTGTACTTGATGGGCTCTTGGTGCAAACCTCTAGCTGAGAATTTGCTCTTCTGTCTGTCTCTTATGTGGGATGCAAGAATTAGAGTTACAGCATTGAATGAAAGTATTCAAGCCCCATGGAGCAGGCGCCTTTGGCGGGAGCTCTCAGCGCGCACGATAACTTCATTTGAGCTCTCCGAAAGGGGCTGAGGGGGGGCCGAGAGCTTGAGGAGGTGCCAACAGATGTGGCATGTTTCAGCTTCAGGTCGTTGGCTCAGATTTGGTCTGGGCGGTTTGGTGTAAAATTAAGATGCCTCTGCAAAATAACGATGATGTTTACCTAACGGCAAAGTTTCTAGGCTTCATTAGCCGAAATGCTAATGATAGCCTCACACTGGTGTAATTTCCTGGTGTCAGTGGACTTGCTCCAGATACAGGTAGGCCGGAGAGCAGGAAGTTGAGCCCTGCTGTCGTCAGAACAATGAGCGCAATTGGCCTTTGAGAGGTCCCAGCATTAACTAGGCAGAGCTGAAGCCCTTTGATTCCCTTGGCGAGCGCAGGAAAGCTTGTATTGCCCTCGTCTTCGGAGGTGGGGACTGCGCAAGTCTAGGAGGAGCTACAGCATGGCGGGGGGGGAGCGTGCCCACGCACACTCAGTAAACACAGGAAACGCATACAGGCCAGTGAGCGCACTTAATTGCGTCCAGCCTACTCCGGAGAGAGTCCTTCAGCACTCTGGTTGTGCAGCTTGTCTGAAGGGGCCTTAGCGTCACTGTTTTTTTTTGAACTAATAGAAACTTTAGACTGACACATTTATTAGACTCTCAACTTTTAGCAGCAGGCCAGCTTACCTGTCTTTCCTTTCTCCCCAAAAGCAGCCTCATGTGACAAACAGCAGCCTCACAGCAGTACTGTGACCTATGCAGGTATTTGGCACGTTTGTTTCTGTGCTAAAATAACGCTTCTCTTTATTTTAGGTATCTCAACCATGTTCGAGCCGCCTCTCCACAGGATCTTGCTGGGGGCTACACTTCCTCTCTTGCTTGTCACCGAGCCTTACAGGATGCTTTCAGTGGGCTTTTCTGGCACCCCAGTTAGTTGCTGTACATCAGCCTGTGATAAAGGGACACTGAACGGCGTGGAAAAGCCAGTCAAACCAGCAAAGGTTTGGTAAAATTGCTGCCATCTGCACAATGGCTTAAGCTGCAGTCACTTTTCTCTGTAAAACCAGTGGTGTTTAAGTGTTAAAGGAAAAAAAAAAATCTGCACAAGAGCTTTGTAAAATGGTAGATACATTTTTGTGGAGGGGGAAACTCGTTAGTCATGCGGCACTTTGCTGAGGGAGGCTGAAGCAATAAGCCACATCTAATGGAAGATGTGAATAACTCAGCTGTGTATGTTTGAGGTTTAAAGAAATACACTTGTAATTTTTTTTAAATAAAGCCAGACTTTTTTTTATTAAAGTTTGTGGTTTTATTCTTATTGCAGGGTTTTATTTGCACAAGCATTTAAATGCCATTTTGATTATAACATTTAGTGTCAATATTCAAGCCTACATTTTCTTCCCATAAAACTAGTTTCCCCAGTTCAGACAAGTGGTTTTTCTTCTCCTGCCAGCTGGATGAGATGAAACCCTGAACTGTGCTGACACAACTCTCATATGAAAGAACCTTCCTGATGTCACTTGTTTGTTACCTTTGTCCAGAAAATGGAAGCACAATCTTTAGCTGAGAACTGTTCAACCTAGTTCCTGTAGAAGCACCCTAAGAGGCCTTGAAACAAGGCCAGTTCATGAAAACTAAGTCAAAATTGGTTTCGTTTCTTCCTATTCAGCTCTGTTTGCAAGTTTTCTGTCAAGTACTCAGGAGCTTTTTTGGACTTGAACATCCCTTTGTCTGGCTTTTGGGATGATCCTTGCCATTCAGTCTGCTCCTCTTGCATCTTCCTTTCCCTCTCTTTCTACTACGTAGTGGAAGACAGACCAGTTGCAGCAGAGATGAGGGTCCTGTCTCAGGGTTAGTTGTTTCCACAAATATGTATAAAGTGCAGGAGACTGGAAATGGCTCAGGACAATGAACACTAACTCTAGAGAAGAGCCTGGACCACTTCTGATGGGTCATCTGTTAATGGTTGTTAAATATTGCTCTGAAGAGTGTAGTAAATGAATGTATTTTTTTTTCTAACTTGTAATAAAGTGAAGAATAAGCTTTATTCCAGACCTGGTGCTTCCTTTATTAAGGAAGGGGGAGGGAGATGCCAAAATTTCCATTTCCCTTTCTCTGAAATCCTTTTGTTTGTGCCCAGAAGAGATGTCGACAGGTAACATTACACAGAAGGCTGAGGTGTAGAGGTGGCCTGACCTTAGACAGAGAGCCTTGTGGCTGGGTGTTGTAGGACTCAACCATGCAGAACCTGTCAGAGACCCCTCACAGCACTTGCAGCCTCTTGTAGCGTAGCCCGCGAGACACGAGTGCTGCTTTTTGCCTGCTGCCTCTAAGGGCCCTTCCTCTTCTCCTCTCACCTGTGGGGCCTAAAAGTTTCCATGCCCTTCATTTAGCCATTCCTTACTTCATGGTAGATGGCTGCCATCATTGCCAGACCTATTTCAGATTTTTTCCTCTCGATGCCAGAAGCGGTGAGAGTTCATCATTTCCTGTATCATAAATGCCTGGCAGCATGCCTCCTGTTCCAAGGACACCTACGATAGCTGCAGTCCCTCTCTGATTCAGCTCTGGACCCCAGGAGGGAGCAGCAGCAACAAGGGAGTCTTGGCAGGCAGGCGGTTTTAAGCTACAGCTCTGGCTGGGGCAGAACGGCATATTGCAGGGAGCATGAAAGGTGGCAGAACCACTGCTAAGGGGAGGGAAGACAAAGCTACTGTTATGGGAGAGAGGGGAAACAAAATTTTCAGCTTTGTTCTGAAGTCTAAGAAGAGTGAAACGTTGGGAGGGCAGGGATCTGGGGGGGGCAGGGACATGAAACAAGCAAAAACTTAGTCCTCCCTGATGTTAGCGGGTCTCCTATGCTGCCTTAGGGTTAGAAACTGGGTGTTTGGGCATCTCTGTCAATGTTTGCTTTACATGACATTGAGGAATAGTAAAGGGAAGCTATACTGTTCCTCACCCTGCCTGCTAAAGGTACACCTCTCCTATGACTTGGTTTCTGTTCAGTTTATAAAGCTTTAACTTATTACCCTAATGAATGCAAAATTGCTTATGCATTACTACATGTCATTTAAATATACTCATGCAACTTGTGCGTGCACATTAAACCTTTTGCTATTTGAAGTGGAATGTCCATATGTAAAAGCAGTAACTACACACAGTATGGGAAAACATAGTTTTGAGTGTAGTTAAACATAATCCATTGACTTGTAAGCAAACCAAAGTTAAGCTGTTAAGGATTAAATGCAACTGCTACTTTAAATAAAGTGAGCAGAACTTTTAAGTGCTAAAAATCCCTCTTCCCTGCTCTGGGCTCCTTTAGTCATGTACTGCTGAAAATCACAGTTACACAGCTGACTTGCCTAACAGCAAAAAAATGGTGATGAAACCATGGTTTCTGAAAAGTAACAGGGCCAGGAAGCCCTAAGCTTGGACCACAAACCAATACACAATGGACTGTTAGAAGTCAAAGGGATGTGCAGGCTCTGTCACATAAAACACACAGGAGCGTTAGCTCAAAGGACAGGGTGACTGCATCATTCCTGAATGGTCAAAGGCCTTATCACAACCACGCTTATGAAGAACAAAAGCAGCTTTGCAAGCGTTTATGGGCAACCCACAGGGCAGCACAGGAGCACATGCAGTGGTGGGCATTAGTCAGTAAACTAACTAAATCACTTAGTGTTAAAAACAGTATTTATTACTCCAAAAGCCCAGGCACAAGAATGTGTGGTTACTTAGACCTTTTTGTAACTTGGAGCAAGTTTTTGAAAGATTATCTTGCTTACAGAAGAGCTGTTTGTGCATCTGCTTACAATAATCCAGTATTCTCAAACACTAAACCTGCTGGTCGAAGAGAATCCCATGCTACACTGTAACAAAGGTTATTTCCTAAGTCCTACAAAACATAAAAAGCAATGTCTTCACCATTCATACCTTACTTGCGTTAGCATTAAGGTATGTCCTGCTACAAACTGCAAATTATCAAAATAGAACTGCAGCAAAAAAACTATCCCCATCTGTGTTACTGAATTATCATGGGGTATGAAATAACAGAAAAGTACCAGAAAATATTTATTAAAAAAGGGCAAAGTTTTATTCTTTGTAAGAAGAACAATTTCAGTCTGATTATTGATCCCACAACTAAGAAAAAGAAAATGCAGGAAACAAATGCTGACCAAGGAAAGATGTAAAGTGCATTACGCATCTCTACATCTAAAGTCAGTAACACAAGCATGGTTCAAATAATTTAAGGGGTGGACTAGAGGTATCCTAAGTATACCTTATGCAAACTAATAAGATAGTTACCATAATTCTAGTCTTCAACTCAATAACTTCTCTTCAGAAAAATCTTTGCTGGTACGCAGACGTTTAGAGGCTGGTTTCTCTGGAAGAAGGTTCAAAAAAGTAAGCTTAGTGTACAATAAACAGATTCTGAACTAAACCATAAACCATGTAATACTTAAGAGACTTATCAGGAAGAGATGAGTTAAAGTCAGGATTAACCGTTACAAATGAAAACTGCGAAGGCAATAACAGGGAATCTTTTCTTTACTAAGTGCCAAAACAAACTTTAAAAAAAACCCTCATTGACCTACATCTCAGCGCTACCCAGTAATAGCATAAAAATAAATTTCATAGCATTAAAACCTTACCAAAACCTCCTTTCCTCTATCGAGTCTGTGCAACTGCAGGCTGAAAGTCTCCCTCTCCCCACTCATCATATGGTGCAAAGCTCAATTTCACTGAAACCAACCAGTTTCTACAAATACTACTTCTACAAATACTACAAATACAAAGAACTGAATGACTTCAAAAAAAAAAAAAGTATCTAAAGATATTTGTATTTCCCAATTAAACTATACATAACCTGATTCTGCTGATGTAGAGAATCCAGGTCTAAACTGAGTCCATGTAAGCATAAGGAAGAAGGTCAGAACTGACACCACTAAGTTGGAAGTAAGCCATGCTACCTCAGGTAAAAGGTGAGCCCCAGTTCTTAAATATTTGGCTAAATCAAACGTATGCTGGATGTTAGATACCCTGTCCTCCCCCAACATGCTATCTAAGGCATAACGGTCTGGATTATAGCCTGTGGGATGATCCTATCCAGTCCACTGCTTCTTCCACTGGGGCTCATGCTGGGATCAGAGAGGACCACTGTTACTGACAGCGCATGAAGCCCCCCAGCTGCTGCAGACATGCAGGCCTTTAGTCCTCCACGCTCACACTACAGTAGAGAATTGCTGTCACACAGCTGAAGTGGCCCACAGCACTGAAAACGTGGGAACCAGCCTGAAAAAGCAAAAGATGTAGCCTGAAAAATGAACACTGTTTGGGAGGATTGTTCTTTACCTTCAGCAGGGCAGGGCCTCTTGTATAGGACATCAGCTGGAATCTGGAAACTAATGCACATCATCTCCTTGTTCGGTGCAACATTTCTAACCAGGTAAGTAGAACAGCGTCCATCTAAGGAGGTTCCCAGTGAAGCCTCAGCTCGTTCTTGAATATCTTTGGCTGGGTCATCATGTTTGGAGAAAGCGTAGCAGTGCACCGTGGGGAGCACAGCGGTGCTGCGTGGCTCTCCAACTAAGAGATGTCTGAAAACATCTAGAAATTCAAGAGCCAAAGCTGGCAAATTCATGACTATATGAAAAGAGGTTTTCTGTTCTTTCGTTTGAAGTGGGAACTCTTTACTTAGTTCTTCTCTAACTGGCCCCAGAAGAAAGTCCCTGCCATCCATGTTGAATGCTTTTATCTTGTTGTATACTTTGTTTAGTTTACAGTTGTGCAGAAGCCAGTTGTAGGATTCAGGATTGAGATCATTTGCAAATACACGGCACTTTTTCTTTGCTGCTGGAATAGCAAAAGGTCCAATCCCAGCAAAGACATCGAAAAGAACATCACCAGGCTTTAAAAGCTCAACAATACGGCCATGCTCTGTGGAAAGACGGGGATTCCAGTAGACTTTTGAGAAGTCCAATTCATATGCAATATTATTTTCTTTGACCTGAAAGTCCAAAACATTTGTTTAAGCCTCCATGTTCACATTCCAGACATGTTTAAGCAATATCAGTAATTAAGACAGCTAAGAAACACGGTACTTTATCAAAAGGTAATGTGTACATTGACATTTGTCCCATTAATAGTACACATGAATCTTGTATAAACAGGTCTACTCATCAGAAATAGCCATAAGGAATGTTCTAACTGTCAGTCCAGATGGCTGGCTTATGCACGTCTCAATCACCAGGTGGAAATAAAGCAGCAACTTAAAATGACCATAAAAAAAAAAATCGGAGGCTTTGCAAGAGCTTTGTGGCTGGCTGACAACTACTTTATTGAAAACAGACCTTGGGAAGATGCCTCAAGCCCTCCTTAGCCTAGCGTCTGCATAGTAAATAAGCGTCCGAGAACGATAACAGCACAAGAATGGCAGCACTCAGCCAAATCCAAAGAGCCATCAAGAGCCAGTTCTGCAGTTTTAACAAATACTACATTTTGTCTCTCAAGGTGACAGAATCTTGGAAACTAATTCAAACCAGAACTTTGGGATGACCAACAGGTTAAGAACAGACCTAAAGAAGAAATGGTATTTAGTCAGATGAGAGGGGGATGCAAGATAATACTCACTTTCCACTACCACTTGAAATTTTTCCTTTGGGTTACTCTAAAATAAAGTAATGTACAATCCAAATCTGCATCATTTGCTTTGCCAGAAAGAAACATACTAAACTGTATTATACATTCTGCAGTTTGCAGCTCAGCAGTATACTAGATGTGTGCTTAATGAGCTAATACCATCTGCATAATATTTGATTGTCACTTCTGACTTGACAATTCAAATGCCTTTTCTTCTGCACGTATAGTTCTATGCTAGCAAGCTATTCAACATTTTTCTTTAGCAGTCGAGTGGTCTCTCTTCTAAACGAATGAGAGCGCTAACAGCTAGGAAAAGTATTTTTTGGCCACCTCAGTGTCCAAATTTCCAGCTAAATCCAAGAAATGAGAAATTCCTCATTATGAGGAATACTTAGCAGTTAGAAAATAATTCTTTCACCTCAAAAATCTCAGAGTAGAAGAGAAGTGAGGTTTTGTGTTGTTGCTGACAGAAAAGGAAACAGGCATAGGCAAACTCTTGCCTAAGTTGCAAAGTCAGTAAGTGGCAAACACTGGGTCTGATGTTCTGTACCAGCCACTGTACAATGCTTCATGAAATTAAGATACAGCATTTTCCTAGAGCAAACGCACTAAACATTTTGCCTTTGGATAAAAAGCAAATAAAAAAAAAGATCACCAAAAACACACCCAAAGCATGTAATTAGTACCTCTGTAAGAAACCTTTACTTTAGCTGCTTTTACCTCTCAGTAAAACCTATGCTATGTACTTGAAAGAATACTTGTGATCCCTACAGCTGTGATTTCATTCGACAGACAAGGAGAAACGAATGTAAAAGTAACTGCCAATTCTTACATTCTAAAAAGGGTGTCAGAAGGGTCAGCAAGCAAAGGAGTGTTTTTAATAGTGATTTTTCATCACATTTTCTTTCCAGTTATGTTTTTGGTTTTTAGCATATTAGATTTAAGACAGTAGGGGGGAAAAAACCCCCACGTACCTTGGTTACCAGGTTGCTCTCTCCAGCTAGCACTTCCATTTGAAAATTTCTGTAAGTGTTGTCAATAATACTGGTTTTATTCACTACACAGGTGACTCCTGGATTCTTGTCAATTATAACCTGGCCTGAACGAGAGAGTAAACAAATATTCAGTTTAAGGCACTGCAACCTTTCAATGTTCTATAAAATACATAAACACAGTAGTTTACAATTACATTTACAAAAGCAAGCATTTGTTTGAACAACCTCCCTCTAATCTTTCAGGGTTGTTATCTGATCTTTCTCAGGCAAATACGTTACACTGATCCAAAGCTCAGCTACTGTAAGAGGACAGAATTGTGTCTTCTGTGTACAGGTAAAGCATCAATTTTAAATACAAGGCTATGTATAGTAAAAATTTTAAAGCAATAAAGATGACTAAAGTTTTATTTGTACAATTAATAACTTATAGATAGAACGATTGCTTGAAATACCTTTGGGAATACAAATTCTTTTTTGAGAACAGTTGTTTTACCTACCAATCAGATGTCTGTAAGGTAGCTGATGATCTCTAAGATTCAAATGTGCTATGTGGCCAACACGGCTAAATCCAGAGGTGACATCTTGACCTTCAGGAAGGACTGCTCGTAGGATCTCCTCTGACTTGAAATTGTCATAAGTCAGCTCCAAGTCATACTTGCACACCTCAGGAGGAATATTAAGCTGTTTTAATACCTCTTGTTCTGATTCTCCCAGTGAGAATTCTGCTATTTTATGGGGATCCAATATAAGGAGTCTGTTGTTCTCATCTTCTGGATCTTCAACCACTCGTTTTAGACCAGGCCGCTGTAGCACCGTATGTTTTAAGGACTTCAACAAAGTACTTATTATTTCTTTCTTAACTTTAAGAACTGGAACAACAACTGTCCTCTTGAAAGCTTCTCTATTGAGTTCTGTCATTCCACGCACTTTAGGAGGTGGCGAATACAGTTCTAGGTTACCTTTATCCTCTACGGTTTCAGGCATTGTAAAGAAACTATTTCTTTGAATTACTACAAAGGGTCCAGGTATTCTGCCAGAATATTGCGCCAATAGCATCCAAACCGCTGGAAATGATGTATTTGATGCAGCTGTCCTAAAATGATTAGTTTTCAGTAGTCTGGCAGAGTATCCAAATCTCCATAAAGTCCTAGAAGAGAAATTATTCATTTTATAGACATTATGTAATCATTCCACTAAAAAGGCTGCAAATCACATGGATTTGCTGTTCTCTTAAACTAGAGTTTCCATTTGTATCAAATAATCCACAATAGTTTTGTAAAGCTCCTGATTATGAATTATATACTACAAATTTCTGTCCTTTTGCAAATGTATTTTTAAACTTAAACATTAGCTAACTTTAGTGCTCTCTTGCCAAAACACAATGATCTCTCTTTGTTCTGTTAAATGTGATATTAATCCCAGTAAGTCAAATGAAAAAAAAAAAACAACCCCAAAAAAGTCTACTGTCTTGATCTTACTGTTGCAGCCTTTCTTTCTCTGGATAAAATCGGTTACCAAGCAGTGGTTGCTAGAAAACAGTTATTAGCAATAGGGGTCACAACCACTCTAGTGATTTCTGCCCCCTACCCTCTGGTTTGCTCCTGCGTAAGGGTTACACGCTCTGCCATGCTGCTGCTGCGTGAGCTACGCCGCTTGCCAAGAAGACTGGATCAAAGGCAGAGTTCTCCTGAAGGTACAGGGAAGCATTAGTAAGGCCTGTTCAAGCGGCTGCATAGGTCTCCCTAGCTCCTTCATGAGAGGGTGACTTGAAAAGTGGCTTGAGTCTTCTTTAAACGGCTCACTGGGTTACAGAAACGGTCCAGAGAGGCCCAACC